GGTCTTCTTATTGTGCTGGCTCCTCTTGGGGCAGAGCTCAGGTTCTAGGGTCTGTGGGCTCGGTAGTTGTGTGGCATTTGGGCTCTAGATCTCTGGCTCAATAGTTATGGCACATGGGCTTGGTTGCTCCTTGGCATGTAGGATCTTCCTGGAACAGTGATTGAACCCGTGTCCCCTGCATTGGCAGGTAGACTTTTTACCACTGAACCACCAGGGAAGCCCAGGATATATCATTTCTATTGTTCAGACCAGTCACCAAGAAGAATGGAATAAGATAATAAAAAGTAAATAAGAGGTTATTGGATTGGAAAGAGAAACAAACTCATTTTATAAAGTTGATGTGATTACCTACATAGAAAACCCAACAAAGCCAACGGGTAAATCATTAGAATTGATAAGAGAATTTAGCAAAACTGACAGATACAAGATCATTGTATAAGTTGTCAATTGCTGTGAAACAAATTACCACAAAAGTCAGCAGCTTAAAGCAACAGACCTTGATTATCTACCAGCTTTTGTGGGTCAGGAGTCTGGGAGCAGTGTAGCTGGGTGCTTCGGGCTCCATCTCTCATGAAGTGGAGGAGACCATACACCGGCTGGGGCTGCATCATCGGAAGGCTTGACTGGGGCTGGAGCATCCACCTCCAGGACACTGCCCCATGGCTCTTGTTGGAGGACCTCAGCTTCCTGCTGGCATTGGTGGGAGGCTTTATTTCCTTCCCTGTGGCTACTTGAATGTCTAAACGCCAAGGCAGCTGGCCTCCCCCCAGGGAAGCGACTGGAGACGGAGGGTGGTGGGGAGGGGGTGCCCTTCACAGCCCACGCTCAGAGGTCGCACTGCCACTCCCAGCACGCGCTGGTCACACGGGCTCGCCGAGCGCCGCCTGCACTCCAAGCGGCGGCGGTTAAGCTCCTCCTCCTTAGGGGACCTATGTCCCGGTGTCTGTGGACAGGTTTGTAAACCTGTCACAGTTACCTTCCAAAAATCATCGGGGTTCCCTCGAACCGGTAACGTCTAGCTGGAAAATACAGGGAGAACGAAACCATTACAGTAGCATTAAAACAATGAAGGGCCTGGGTTTTTTGTTTATTTTTTAAGACGTATTTGCTTGTTTATCTATTGGCTGCGGTGGGTCTTCGTTGCTGGGCAGGCTTTCCTCCAGCTGCAGAGAGCAGGGCCCACTCTGGCTGCGCCTTCTCAGTGCGGTGGTTTCCCTGGTTGCGGGGCACCGGCTCTGGGGCACGAGGGGCTCGGTGGTTGTGACTCCCGGGCCCTAGAGCGCAGGCTCAGTGGGCTTCGCTGTTCCACGGTGTGTGGGATCGTCCCAGACCAGGGACTGAAACGGCGTTCCTTACACTGCAAGCCGGATTCTGAACCACTGGACCGCCAGGGAAGCCCTAAAGAGCCTGGGTTTTAACCTTAAAGAAAATGCACACGATCCTGTTGTAGAAAATTGAAAGTCTCCAGATCAAAGGCATGCATGGAAGGAGAGCAGTGTCCTGTGTGTAAACGGGGGACTTCACCTTGTGAAGACGGCAGTTAATCTACAAATTAAATATGATTTGATTGAAATCAAAGGTGTTTGAGAAATGTAACAGTTTTTAAATTTGTATTAAGAAGTGAGGATACAAGAACATTTCAGACATTTTTGAAAAGGAAGAACAAGGAAAAGGGGGACAGCCTTAACAGTTAATAAAATATTCTACAAAGACTCTTGAGAGTCTCTTGGACTGCAAGGAGACCAAACCAGTCAGTTCTAAAGGAAATCACCCTGAATATTCATTGGAAGGACTGATGCTGAAGCTAAAGCTCCAAAACTTTGTCCACCTGGTGCGAAGAGCTGACTCATTGGAGAAAGACCCTGGCGCTGGGAAAGGTTGAAGGCAGGGGGAGAAGGGGACAGAGGATGAGATGGTCGGATGTTATCGCCTACTCAGGGGACAGGAGTTTGAGCCAACTCTGAGACGGTGAAGGACAGGCAAGCCTGGCCTGCTGCAGTGCCTGGGGTCGCAAAGATTTGGACACGACTGAGTGACCGAATAGCAGCAAAGACAGGGAGCAAACAGCATGGCAGGGTCACTAGGCCAGACAAATAAACCGCTCAAGCCCCACACACCGATTCCCCCAGACAAATCCATGCATTTGTGGCGACTTGATCTATGACAGAGGTGATACAGGACATCTTTGGAAATGGTTTTTTTTTTTTTTTAAAGAATAGTGCTTTTAACGAAAAAACTGCAAATACCTCAACACTCTCCCCCTGAGAGGTAGGAGGGTCTATGTCTCCTGCCCTGAACCTGGACTGGTTTCGGTGACCTGCTTGTGACCAACAGAACGCAGACAGATAAGACCATAGACCGTCTACAGCTGGATCGGAGGCGGCTGTGTCTTTGGCTGTTCTCTTGGGATGCTGGTTCTGGGGGTGGCCAGGCACAGGGTATGCAGTCTTCTACCCGAGACCTCTGCACTGGACGGGCCTCGGGTAGGGGTCCTGTGAAGACCCCAGAAGACGGGCAGCGCCAGCGACCGACCACACGGGGACCAACTCAGCCTGCACCCCAGCCAGCCTCTGACTGCAGCTCACCATGAGTCACTTCCAAGTTCCAGGAGCTCAGACACGATCAACATAAGACCCATGCCTTATGCCCCGAAGTGTTTGGATAATTTTTTACGCAGCAACAGAAATTGGAACAAACAATATTGGGAAAACGGGGTCACTTTACCGAAAATGGAGTGTAGGGTCCCTACCTCATGCCAAATACAGCGGGCGTTCCTACCTCCTGCCACACACAGAGGGGAGCCTTCTGTAAGAAGCTAGAGGCCGAAACGTGAATGATAAAACTGCAGGGGCAAACGCTGGAGAGCGTCTTTGTGACCTTGAATGGGGAAGGCTTTCTTCATTTCTCCAAAAAGACAGAGTGTAAGGTGGAAAAATGGGTGGATCTGGTTGTGTCAGGAGGAAGGATTCCACAGACCATGTTGACAAGGGGTCACCAGGCCAACAATGGAGAGGACGTACAGGAAACCACCCTGCGTCCCCTTGAGAAAGATGAAGCCTCAGCGAGGAGGCCGGGCCGGGGCCAAGAGCCCAGCAGGGACCCGAGTGAGCAAGGCCTGTCCCGGGTCCCTGCGTTTCTGAACAGACGGCGCTCGATGGCTCTCAAGGGCGCTGGCTGGCGTGGCGGCAGCTCCAGACTCTGGCAGAAGGCGGTTCCTGGCTTTCCCACGCAGAGCAGGGGAGTGGAGGTGCCCTCGGGGGGTGGGGGGAGGTCAGGTCTGGCTGGTTCCGGGTCAGCCGAGTGGGGAGCGCTCGGGGTCTCGTGGGGCCTCCTGTGCTCCCCACGCTGTCTCTCAGTGCTCCCCGAGGGGCGTGGCAATTACCCCTGGCCGAAAATTCATTGCAGGGTCTGCTGAGACCCGGAAGTTTGTGTCCCCGTTCAAATGTGGCAGCCCCGGCCCCCCAAGGTGACGGTACGGGGAGGTGTGGTCTTTGGGAGGTGATCAGGGTTAGATGAGGCCAGTGGGGGTGGGCCATGATGGGATTAGCACCCTGAGAGGAAGGGGTGAGCCTGCCCACCCCCACCAGGACACAGGGAGAAAGAAGGTGCATCCGCAGGCCGGGACGTGGCCCTCACAGGAGGCCAGACTGGCGGCCACCCTGCTCTTGGGCTTCGGGCCTCCAGGACCGCGAGGGACACAGTCCTGTTGTGTAAGGCCCCCAGTGGTGTCTGGTGGCAGCACAAGCGGTCTGAGACGGTCTGAGACGGTCAAGTTCACAGGTCCACTTGGCTAGGCTGAGGTCCTAGTTGCAGTGGTCCTGGACACCCGTTGAGGTGTTGCTCCAAGAGTCTTTTAAAAATTATTTATTTGCTTTAGGTTGCTGGGTCTTTGTTGCTGCCAAGGGCGTTCTCTAGTTGCGGAGAGCAGGGCCTGCTCTCTGCTGTGGTGCTCGGGCTTCCTGTGGCTTCTCTCGTCATGGACCACGGGCTCCAGGGTGCAGTCTCAGCAGCGGGGGCACACGGGGGTGGTTGCTCTGTGGCGGGTGGGACCTTCCCAGACCAGGCGTGGAGCCTGTGTTCCCTGCACTGGCAGGCGGGGCCTTAGCCGCAGGGCCACCAGGGAAGTCCCTGTAAGTGCGCTTTTTAGGTGCGTTTTTGTTGTTCAGTTGCTCAGTTGTGTCTGACTCTTTGCGACCCCATGGACTGTAGCCCGCCAGGCTCCTCTGTCCACAGGATTCTCCAGGCAAGAATACTAGAGTGGGTTGCCATGCCCTCCTCCAGGGGATCTTCCCAACCCGACCTGGGGATTGAACCCGGGTCTCCTGCATTGCAGGCAGATGATTTAACAACTGAGCTATGAGGGAAGTTCAATAATTGCCTATAATAAGATGTATAGGTATAGATATACACAGGTAAATGTAGATGCGAGTATAGTGTGAGTGTGAGTATGTGTGAGGGTTACACACACAGAGAAAAAGAGTTATTTTAAAGAATTGGCTCCTGAGACTGTGGGGCTGGTGAATCTGAATTTTGCAAGCTGGGCTGGCAGGCTGGAGACACAGGGAAGAGCTGAAGTTGTAGCTTGAGTCCAAAGACCACCTGGAGGCAGAATTCCTTCTTCCTCAGAGGAGGTTAGTTTGCTTTATTTCTTTTAAGGTCTTCAACTGCTTGGATGTGGCCCACCCAGAGTGGAGAGCAATCTGCTTTACTCAAGGTCTGCTGATTTAAACAATACTCTCACCTAAAATTGATGCTTTTGAATTGTGTTGTTGGAGAAGACTCTTGAGAGTCCCTTGGACTGCGAGGAGATCAAACCAGTCCATCCTAAAGGAAATCAGTCCCGCATATTCATTGGAAGGATTGACGCTGAAGCTCCACTACTTCGGCCACCTGAGGCAAAGAGCTGACTCATTAGAAAAGACCCTGGTGCTGGGAAAGATTGAAGACAGGAGGAGAAGGGGACGCAGAGGACAAGATGGTTGGATGGCATCACCGACTGAATGGACATGAGCTTGGGCAAGCTCTGGGAGATGGTGAAGGACAGTGGGTCGCAAGAGTTGGACACAACTGAGCGACTGGACAACAGCAAGTCGTGCTGTCACGCTGCTCTCCAGGAACGTGGCCCACCTGGAGGATGCCCTGAAGTCAGGGATGCTCCTACTATCAAATACACCCTCAGTGCTACAATGCCCAGTGAGACTACTGCTGCTTGCTGCTCTGAGGCTCATTTCTGTGGTTGCGGGAAAGCCCGGCGTTCCCCCACATGTTATGTTTCAGGCGGTGAGGTGGCTCCCTCACCTACTTAGAAATGCTGACACGCTGCCTGCCCACTAGGTTTTCCAGTAAGGGTTACAAACGCAGCAGGACCGGAAGGAAAGGAGAATCAGATGGCACGCATAATGACCAAGTTGGGAATGTGTTCAGAGAAGATGAAAACGCAGACTGGGTTTTGCTTCTTTTTTTCTTTTTATCAGATTCCGTTGGTTCTGGGCCCCACCCCCGGTATAGCACAGGCAAGGGGGCCTGCCTGGAGGAGGGGGCTGCCCACCTGGCCCAGGGACACTGCCGTGGGTTCTGGTTGGAGCTGCCTTCTCGGCTCCAGGAGCCCTTTTCTGCCTCATGGTGGCCGGTGGGGTTCTGCACACGTCTGCCTGATGCCTGTGTTGGTGGGAGGAGGTTGCAGAGGGAGCGGGGCCCCAGAGGAGGGACAGGAGGGCCCTTCACAGCTGTGGCCAGAGTCCTATCCCTTGAGCCAGGCCAGCCAACCGGTCACCAGGTGACCGGGTGAGCGGCCACCGCCTGGCCTGGTGCCTGGCCTCCTGCGGATTTGGTTTGGCTCCAGCTGGGCGGCCGCTCCAGGGCTGGCGGCTGCGGGAGCCCAGCTCACACTCCATCATCGACGGATGACAGCGGGAACGGTGGGAGTTCATTACAGGGACCATGAATTGTTGGAGGTAATTTAGATTACAATTTAAAGTTTAATTTAAAAATCTATCAACAAATGTGAAAGTACTGGAGGAACATTTTAAAATGCACTTTAATCTCAGCAGCACAAATAGCTTTTCGGGGCTCTAAACATCATCACCTGGAAAAACAGTAAAACTTTACTGCATCTTTAATTAAATTACAAACACAAAGGATAATTAACTTTTTTATTTTTATTTTATTCGTGCCATTGTTTCTCCTCCGAGTCAATATCTTGCAGCTGCAGGAGCGGCTGTTACGAGGAAGTTTACAGCCGGCCTGAAGTGTGCGGCTGCCTGAGGGATGAATGTCCCCCGGCAGCTGAGGCGGTCCCCCAGCTCCCCGCGGCCCTGCCCCCAGCGAGGCGTCCCCTCGCACAGGCCCGGCTGGCCCTGTGCCCCCAGCCCCGTGGGTGGGGACGGGCACGGCTCGCCCAGGCCAGGCTGTGCTCTGACCAGGAGCTCACTGCACCCTCTCAGTGGCTTTCACAGGTGGGGAAACCGAGGCACCGGGCGGTCAGGCAGCGGGTAAGTCGCTGTGGACAGGAGCGGAAGTCCTCAGGTGCGGCCTCCACCCGGGACCCTGGCCTTGGGCAGCGAGGCTGGGGGCCTGGCGCCTAAGCGGGGACCTCCTGGTCCCCCCGCCCCGGGGGTTGCGACCTGAGGGCCTCTGAGACGCTGGGTGAGGAGGGGGCTTGAGGGGCTCCAGGTTCCCGTCGATTGCAAGGCCCAGCTGGCCACCTGGGGGCTCCCTGGAGATGCAGTGGGTTGGTTCCTGGGGGCGAGGGTTTTCAAGGTGCCGGGAGTGGGTGGGGAGGGCAGTCGTGGGCAAGGCTCCCAGGCAGGCAGGGGCCCGAGGGGGCTCAGGCCAGGAACCTGGAGCCCACGGAATATCATGGGGGAGGTTCCCTCCTGAGCCCGGAGGAGCCGTGGGGGGTGCCGGGGACCCCTCCTCCAGGTCTGCGGGTGGGGGTGGGGGCGGGAGGGCTGGAGGCGCCTCAGCCCCTCCTGCCTTCCCTTCCCCTCCCGCTCCCCGGCTTCTTCCTCCCTGGTCGGGGGAGGGGCGTGTGGCTTAGCACCTTCCTTTCCGGTCCTGCCCGCCCGGCTGGCGGGAGGGCGTGCGGGTTGGGCACCTGGGTGGGCCTCTCCCCTGGGACACGGGGCCCGGAGGCCCACTGGCAGACGTTCAGGTGGGAGCCCCTGCCCTCCCAGGGTTCCTGAGCCAGTAAAGTGGGGTGATGGCCCCCCGCAGCGCCCCCCTCTTCCCAGTGTCTTCCCAGCCCGCAGCCCCAGGCCTGGCGGGGAGGGTGGAAGCGTCCAGTCCCGCAATGGGCCCAAGTTACACTCACACACACCCACTCACGCACAAGCTTTCACACACATGCACACACACATGTGAACAGCCACCTCACCTGCTGACACACTTGGGCACATGCACACAGACACACCCACACCTGCTCCCGCCCCCCGCGTGCACACACCCGCACGCTCACCACCCCCCCCCATCACAGCGCCTGTGTGTCCTGCTGCCTTCCAGGCAAGGACGAAGCCGGCAGGGTCCAGGCTGCAGCCGGACAGACGGACGGGGCGGTGGGGCTGGGAGAGGGCTTTGGGGCTCGGTCCAGCCCCTCTGGGTCTGGGGACTGTGTCCCCGCCTCCCCCTGTGGGGCTGATAGGCCCACCTCCGGTGCACCGAGGCGGGGTGGGGGCGCGCTCCGGCCGGCTGGTATTCAGTTTTAGTGCAGTGGCTGCTTAATTATTGGTTAATCTAGCAATTTAGCATGCTTCATTTAATTCTAATTAGGAGAATTAATGGTCAGGGAATGAGGATTCCAACAGAGTGGCACAAAACATCCCTGAGCCCGGACAGTCCAGCCGGGGGGGCTGGGCCTGGGGGCGGCCTGGGCCCGGAGATAGACCACCCGGGGGCAGCCGAAGGTTGGGCTAGGGGTCCTGGGGGTGGGAGGAATCACTCCTCGGCCTCTGGGCCCCTCGGTCTCAGAGGGTGGAGGGACCTGGGGCAGGCTGGACGGACCCGGGCGGACCACGGCGGACCCCGGGCGGCCCCCCGGCAGCCCCCCAGCCCCCCTGCCTCCCAGGCCCGGCGGCGCCTGCGTGTTTCTCTGCTCATCAGGCCAGCTCCCTGACAAGGCCCGACGTCGGACAAGACTGTTCCTCTAATTAAGGTGCTAATTGAATTAAATGGCTGCGGTAATGAGCAGATGAGCAGCATAAAAAGTAAAGAGTCAGATAGGCCAATTAACAAGCGCGCAGAGCATAATTATAACATTGCAAATACACGCGGCTGGCCTCCAGCATTGTTAATTGTTACCAGGGGATTTATGGTAATTGGCCCCACAACAGGCAGCGGCCAAACCTGCCCAGGGCCGGTAATTAAAAAATGATGTTCTACACAAATGCCGGACGGGCTAATTAGGCCTTGATTTACATAAAGGCCTGCGAGGAGGCCCGCCCGCCTCCCTGATGGGGGCCGTGGTAGGCAGGGCGGGAGCCCCTGCGGGCCACGCGCTGGCACCCGGCCCGGCTGGCCTCGGGGCCGTCCAGGTCGCCCACAGCTGGCGGGAGACTCTGAGGCCACCCTGGAGCCCCTGGGCACCGCACATGCTCTGAGCTGAGTCCACAGGGCCCAGCTGCTCTGGGCCCAGACCGGCCTGCTGGCCAGCACCCCCTCCCCGCACAGGCCCCGCCAGCATCTGGGGAGCGAGGTGGCTTCAAGTCCTGTCCTCAGTCCCCCCAGCCTGGGTGTGCCTCCTCCTGGGATTCACGGCCTTTTGCAAGGGCCAGCTCTTCCCGCCCTCCTGCCTCCCTGCACCCAGCACTGCTGTCCCTGCTGGGACAGGGTCACCGGGGAGGGCGGCTGGACTGGGAGGGGGCTTAGGATGCAGTACCCACGGCTGGTCACGCTGATCTGGGCCCCCGAGATGGGCTGCACCTCCTCCTCCACGCTGTCTCCTCTGAGGGGGCCCCGGTCCCACCCTCTGAGCTGGGGTGTGCCCCCCACTCTGCTCCGTCTGAGAGGACCAGAACGGACGGGCAGACAGGCCGCAGGGAGGTGGCAGGAGACAGAGAGGCAGGCTGTGTCCTCTGGGCAGGGCGGGGTATGGCACCCCCTGCAGGGCAGAGGGGAAGTCAGGACAGGCTCTGCCCTGGCCCCGCCACAAGGAGGCCGCTGGCACCCCACTTAAGAGGTGGGAAGCGGGGTTACAGACCCGCGCAGGGCCATCGCGGGCACACTGGCTCCTTGAGCTCCCCGAGCCGTGCCTCCCTGGAGCTATTCCCCGGGGCCACACGGGCATCTTCCCAAACCAGACCCCCGCTCCCTGCACAGGCAGCGTCCCGGCCGCCCCCACGCTGCCTGTCGACAACGACTTCTCAGGCAGATTTACCGTGACGTTCACTCTCTGAACAGAAAACTCTGCCTCATTTACAAATGTAATTTCAATTGAGGGTAGTTTTCCAATCTCCTTTCATTTGAGTCCCAATTGAGCCCCTTTTCACAGAGCTGATGGCATGATTAGACAGCGGGCACGCCGCGGCAGGTTGGTCAAGCGCGGACCTGTAAATTGGGAAGGATGTTTTATCAGGACACGTCACCGCCGCCGCTGGCAGCCGTGGGGTGCTCCGGGCTGTCCCCTCAAATCACGGTTATGGAATAATTTAGCTGCGATTCCCTGCGATTACTGCGGCCACTGATCATGCTGTCACATTGCAAGTGAGCACTCCATCCTGCGTTTATTCATGCCAGATCTGTTTTGCTTTCGTAATGAGCACATATTACCCCAGCACAAAGAGGGTGAAGACGTCCGCGGTGATAGATAGGCGCGAGATTAAATGAGATCTTTACGACTCCTGCAGCCATCAGTTCTGACTGTGTGATAAGACCAGTCGACTCGGGTCCTGATTTGCTCTTTATTGGAGCCGGTATTAGCATGCGCTCACCGGTGCTCGGGCTGATCAAACCCATTTAAGGTGGAATCTTGGATGCAGGAGCCGGCAACCACCCCGGCATGGACGCAGCCGCCGCCAGGGCCAGGAGGGAGGCTGAGCCGAGGCCCCTAGAACCGAGCTACCAGAGGGCGACCCCCTCCCCCAGGGCGGCTGCAGATGGGCTGGGTCCCTCCTGCCTGGGGTTGCAGGTGGCCAGCTGCACTTTCACCCACTGCAGGACAGCACCCCCTCCAGCCCACCCTCGGGGCCCAGCTCCCACTAATGCATCCTGGCTGCGAGGGAGATGGTTCAGTTGGAGCCCACGGGTGCCAAGCCGTGCCTGGGTGGGGACAGGAGACTGCCCCAGCATCAGGACCACTGTCTGGGCTCCTATCTGGGCTCCCAGCCTCCAGCCTCCCCACCAGCTGCTCCCACAGCTGCTCGTGGGACACCTCACCCGCTGGACATCACTTGTCCCACCTCTCCTGGGCTGCAGCTGTGGGGGAGGCCCTCCAGTGACAGTGGCACTGGCCCAGACGTAGCCCGGGAGCCCATGCCACACCCAGTCCTGCCACTCTCCTGAGCGGGAAGACCAGCTCGGCTGGGTGACCACTGGGGCCCTGTCCCTTGGCAGGGCGGAGCAGGGCAGGGTGGGCAGCAGCTGTTCCCTTGCTGGGGCAGATGGGGCCCTTCACCATGAGGTCTGACTGTTCTCACCTGCCTTTAGAAAAGCAGGATCGTTTCAGAGCCTCCCGAGGTCACACTGTGTGAGCCAGCCTGGAATCTGTCCACATTTGTCCCTATCAGATGTCTTTAACCTCTTACATCACCTCTGTTGAGGCCATGGAGGGGAGGAAGACAGAGTCTCCTTGTGGCCAAAGGGCCCCATGGCCCGAGCCTGTTGGCGTCCACTTCCCGGCCCAGCGCGGCACTCTGGGCCCTGAGCTGGCCTGTGCAGGCCCGTCCTGCTGCTCTGAGCCTCCGTCTTCCTGACCGCCATCTGTCCACCCGGCCTGCCTGGGGTCCTCCCAACTCACCACCTCTCCCTCACCTCTGCCACCAGGCTTCCCCCCACTGGAGGGTCTGTGGTGAGTCGGAGACGGCTTTGCAAAAGGCTGGCATGCTCACACACAGACTAAGGAACGGCAAGTCCTCCTTGTGTGGCCCTTGGTGGCCCTGACCCGTGAGTGTGTCCGGTGTGACGAGGCGGCCCTCGACCCTTCACAAGGGCCAGCGCCAGCGCAGGAGCAGACGGGGCTGTGGTGGGGGGCCTGAGGGCAGGGGTGGGGTCTGCAGAGGCGGTGGAGTGGGGTGTGTGTGTGTGTGTGTGGCACTGAGGCCTCATGGCCGCAAGGCGTGGGTGGGGGCCTGGTGGGTTCTCTGTGAAACGTACTGGACCCCTTCTCAGAGGAGGAGCTTAACCCCCCTCGATGGGGGCTGCACTTAGTGACCCCTCCGGGCTCAGGGCCCAGAGGGCAGAGTGTTCACCGCCCCTGGGGGACCCAGCAGAGTGGTTGCCCCTGGGAAGAGTGACAGTGGGGCATGTCACCGCCCCCCCCCCCCACCCAGTCTTCTCCACCAGGGTCAGACCAGACGTCCCACGGTCACAGGGCCCGTCCTCAAGCCGTCCAGGCCTGACGTCGAGGAGAAGGGAGGGCCCGGGAGGCAGCATGGGCACAGGAGGGACGACCAAAGGGACGTCTCGGGGGCATGGAAAATCCAAGGAGCGTGGTGGGGGTGGTTGAGGGGTCTTAGCTGTGACAAATGTGACCCCTAAGGAGGGAGACGGACCAGTGGGCGGGTGTGTTGGAACTCTGTACTGTCTGTGACTTCAACTCCAGATTGTTCCAAAATATCCTTGTGGCTCCAGCAAGGAGTGGCTGCTGGGCAGGAAGGGCCTCATGGGGGCTCATGCAGGCGGCAGAGGCTGCGGCCCTCCAGCTGGAGGGGTGCGCTTCTGAGTCATCAGTGTCATGATCCCGTAAGGGGCCCTCTCAGGTCCAATGACGACCACCTTCCCTCCGGCCACCTGCCCTGCAGGGCCTAGTGAGGTGCTTGGGGCCCCCACTAGTGAGGGAGGTCTGATTGCTCTGTGCTGGGACTCCCCCACCCCACCCCGAATCTCACCCTCCTGCAGCTTCGAGCCCCTCAGAGAGGTCCCCCTCCCACACCCAGCTGAACTGCAGGCATCAAGGCTGTCTGGTCTGTGGGGTGGTTGGGATGGGGGCTCAGGCTCCAGAGGGCCGCCCACCCCTCTCCATTATTTGGGCTCCCGGAGCCCCGGCCTAGGACTCAGCCATCTCCTCCTGCGACTCCCCCACCCAACACCCTTAATAGAAACCCATAAATACCTCTACTTGCTAATTTAAAAAGGGAGCGGGGCTGTTTATGAGCACCCCGAGAATGACATTTACGAGGCTGAAAGTAAGTGATTATTGACTGTAGACAATGGGACGGCGCTCGGGGAAGGCGAGCGGCCGGGAGGATTCCTTGCGATAAGGAAGAGGCTTCCCTTTTCTCATGTTAATTCAGGCCAACTCGCAGTGAGGCAGGCACCGTCCTCGCCTTTCAACTTAAATGTCACTGCGGTGCTGGGTGCTCCTGGACGGGAGGTACCAGGACACACGCCTGCCCTTCGCTAGACGGACAGAGGGCTGGGAGGTGCGGGGGGCCCAGGGTCGTGGGGAGTCACCGGAGCCCCGGACTCAGCAGCCCCGAGCAGGGGGTGCTGCGGACGCGGGGCGGGGCCTCTGGGGGCGGGGCCTCTGGGGCGGGGTCTCGGGCTGGGGCTGCTGAGGGCGTGGGGCGGGACATCTGGGTGCAGGGCGGGGCCTCGGGCAGTGGCGCTGAGGGCGCGGGGCGGGGCCTAGGAGGGGCGGGGCCTCGGGCAGGTCTGATGAGGGCGCGAGGCGGGGCCTCTAGGGGGCGGGGCCTAGGAGGGGCGGGGCCTCGGGCAGGTCTGATGAGGGCGCGGGGCGAGGCCTCTGGGGCGGAGCCGCGGCGGGATGGTGCCTCTTGGGGGACCTGACCCGGGGAGCGGGCATGGACGGCCACCTCTGGCCGCTTTATGGGGCCTGTCCTTACCTGCCCGGCTCCGAGGACAGCTCAGAGGGACATGGGAGCAGGTCCACGTGGCATCTGACTACGGGGCGGCCCCCCTCCTCCTCTCCCAGTTGGAAACAGGCCTCCGAAGGTGTGGAACAGGGGGTTCTCAGGGGACAGCCTGGAGGGATCGGCAGCGGGTTCACGCACACAGGCCACGGGGGCCCCAGCGAGGCTCCCCTCCAGCCCCCACGCCTGCAGGGCGGTGAAGCATCTAGGCTGGGATCTGCGGTACCCTCCGTGAGGACACTCCCCTTTACCTGTCCGCGACGTCGGGCAGCCCCTCCTCCCCTCCGCTGCGCACGCGGACCCACTTGCGATTGGAAGCCTCCCAGCTCCGGTCCCCGCGGCCTCTCTGACTGGCCGGCCCTTCCCTCGGCCACGCCCAGCCCGCTCCCGCCTCAGCTCGGGCTGCTCCTCTCCCACCTGGGGTGCCCTCCCGGCTCCGAGCATCCACCCTGGTCGGTGGCCGAGCTGCGCCGTCTCCTGATCTCAGGCTGCGTGCACGTCTCAAGCTGGTCCTCCTTGCGCAGTTTGCTCTGTCCGCTCTGCAAGAAAGGTCCGGGTGAGGGAGGGGGTCGGCGTGGCTTGGACCCGCGGGCCAGAAGGCAGTGTGCAGCGTGCGATCCCTGCCGCCCCTGTCGACGCTCAGTCCTTCAGTCCTCGTGGCCGACCTGACTGGCTCCCCTCTCCCCGCCCCGGCCAGGCCCTCCCTGCCTGGCGCTCAGCCCACCTGGGCCTGCTGTGTTCCTCCCCAACCCCTAACCTGCTGCCAGGGCTCACAGTGTTTGCTGGGTGACTGCGGGATCCGCCCTGTGGGTTGTGAGAGGCAGGCTCCCCCGTCCCCATCCCGTGCAGTGTCCCTGGGGTCAGCTCTCTCCCACTGAGCACTGGCTAGCCACCAGCCAGGCTTGTGTACCTGGGGCAGGTCCCATAAACAGCCAGAGGGATCAGGGTGCACCTGGGAGTTCCCTTTGTGGTGAGCCCCCGCCTGGCCTCTGCGGGGGGAGAGGCACCCCCATAGTGTGCAGGCAAAGGCCCTGGGAGGGCAGGCAGCCCAGGGCTTGTCTCTGGGCCCTGAGCCCTGGCCCCTCCATTCCTGTGGGGAGCTTCCCATGTGTGAGGTTCTGCCCCATCTCAGGACCCAAAAGCCTCCCTGGGAAGTGTGTCCTGACACCATCACACTGTTAGGCGTTGCCTCCAAAGCTGAGGGGGGTCTGGGGGTCCTGAGAGCGAGGCTTCCCTCTCTCTTCCGTCTACCCACTACCCTTCCCTTCCAGTCAGGGCACGGAGGGGGCCGTGAATGTGAGGAGTGACCGCTACTCCGGCCACTCAGAGCCTCCCCAAGAGAGCTGCTCCCCTGGGGAGGGGGGAGGCACTGTCCACACCCCAGCTGGGATTGCACAGCGGCTGGGGTGGGGGCTGCCGCCCGGACCCTAGGCCCGGCCTCTCTTCATCCTGGGTTTCAGAGGGGCCGTGGGAGTTGTAAGGCCTTCCAGCTTGGCCTTTCTCAGCAGGAATGCTGGTGGTTGCGGCTCCTTGGTGAGGCTGCCCAGTGAAGGAGCCCGTTAGTGACCACCCCCCTCCTCAGCTCCTCTGAGCACCTGCTGGGGGCCGGGGCTCTGCAGACTGAGTGAGACGGGAGTTCAGTCCACACCCTCCACCTCCAGCCAAGGCAGCAGATTGGCCTTGAGCACAACTCTGGCCTGAGAGCCACAGGCCTGCAGGGCCTGAGCCGTGTGGCTGCTCCATCCCGGGGCCTGGCCAGCAGAGCTTCCTAGGCTGACCGGCTGGCCCTACCCAGCCGCACAGCAGCCAGGCCCTGAGCCCGGGAGCTCCGCGCCCTCCTGAGGCCCCCGCGAAGGTCTCAGGGCCTTGTGAGAGCGAGCGGCTGTAGCCACAGAACCGGAGTTCCCATCGGATGCCCATCCGAGCCTGGGGCTCAGGGTTGAGCGCTGGTAGGCAGCCAGAAAACTGAAGGACACGCCTGGGGCTCCCCTGTGACGTGCGGCGGCCCCTCACTCTCTTTCTGCCCGTTTCTTCTCAAACAACTTCCCGGGAAATGGCTGGGGGTGCGCTGACAGCCGGATGACTGATGGCTGTGGCACATGTGGGCTGCTTGTGCTGGAGGGGCCAGGGGAGCCCCTGGGCTCCAGAGGAGCAGGGTGGGGTGTGGCAAGGAGGGCGGGGGTCTGTGGGTTCCTTAGGCAGAGGTGGGGCTGGAGGAGTGGTCTGTAGGATGGGCGGTGTAGCCCTGGGTGGGGGCCATGAGTGCCAGGGCCGCTGTGAGGGTCCAGGCCACCCCAGGTGCATGTGGAGAGCCAGCAGGGCAGGCCTGGTCCGGGCGCTGGTGGCCGTCTGGGCGCAGCGGGAAGGGGCATGAAGACCTGGCCCCCTGACAGCCTGCCTGGCTGGACTCCTGCTCCCTCTCCCGCCGGAGGCCCTGGGGCTCGCTCCGTGCTTTGGCCTGTGCCTTGGTTTCCCCATCTGTCCGTGGGCTCTGCTGGCCCTGCCCCTATGTGAGCGGTGCCTGGTGCCCAAAGCTCCCTCACCCGGGTGCCGGGGGATGAGGGGTGGGCTAGCCCTTGCCTCCACCTTAAGGTATGGATCGCGGGCCCCCCTCCGCCCCCGCTGCCCTGGTGACAAATACTAATGTCTGAATCAGCCGCCCGCCCGGCTGGCCCGCACCGCTCATGTTCTTTGCTGAAATGTCACCTGTTCCTATCTAACGATTTGCATAATGCAAAGCTTCTCACTCGTAAAATACAGATTAAGAGGGGAAGGGAGTCATTCTGGAACCAGGGAGCCATTTCAAGGGAAAGGGGAGGGAGGCCGGGAGGCCCGCTCTTAACCCCGTCCCTGCCGGCTGCGGTCTGCCCCGCCTGGATGGGCACCCCGTGGCCGCCAGCTTCTGCCCCTGACTGCCAGGAGAGCCGAGGCCACCTGGGCACCCCCTGGCCTTCCCACAGCCTCCACTCTCCCAGGAGCCTGTGCCTTTGGGGGGACGCCTGCACCCGTCCAGGGAGGGAGGGGTGGAGGCGGGTGAGGGCTGGGGTCTGCTCAGGTGGGTCTCTGTGGTCGTGGTGGCCCCCACCCCTTGTCCTCAGACATTTCAAAGGAGTGCCTGGGGCCTGAGGAGGGGCCAAGCCCACCTTGTTATCGGGGGCTTTGGTCTGCAGTCTCAGCAGAGCTGGGATTGGGTCCTGCTGCCGCCGGGGAGGTGGGCTCAGTTGGCACCTCCTCAGCCTGAGCCAGGGGGTGGGGGCACAGAGCCAGGGCCTGGGCCGGCCGCCAGGAGAAATGCCCGCTCATCCCTCTGAGAAGGGTGCTGGCTCACAGGGATTGTGAAGAGGGGCCTGCAGGGGGCATGGCGCGGGCCTCATGGCCAGGAGGGGGCGGTGATCTCCCACCCTCGCCGGCTGCCCCGAGACTGCCCAGCCCACACCCCTGAGCATGTCAGGTCGGCCTTCTGCCCGCCATGGTCCCAGCCCCGGGGTCTCCTTCCTCCTCCAGAACTTCCTTCCGCAGGGAGAGGGCCTCGCGTGCCAGCTGGCCTGCCCTGGAGGGGGTGCTGTGCAGCCAAAGACTGGGAGTCAGGGTGCAGGCAGGGCCGCTGGGGCACAGAGAACAGGGCTCCCCAGGACCAGGGAGGAAGCCGGCTCCTGAGCCGGGCGAGTGTGGACCCACACGGAGGTGCTGGGCGGGGCCAGGGTCCCTTGCTGAGCTCCCCAAATTCACATCACAAGGAAGGGGCTGAATTACGGGCCTCCTCCCCACTTGGCAGGGAGAAGAGAGCCCTGGGTCATCCCTTCCAGCCTGGAGCCCCACAGGGAGCCTCGTCCCCTGCCCTGAGGCCTCCCAGGCTGCAGGTTCTTTGCAATTGCAGCCGGGGCAGCTGGAATTACCTGCTCTTACGCCTCCTACTCCAGACTCACCCATCCTTCCTCCCACTTCAGTCCAGGGGACTAACTGAGCTGGGCAGCCCCACCCTGATGCCTCCCTCGCCACCAATATTACCACCATCACCGAGACAACCATCACTACCACCACCATTACCATCACCACCACCATCATCATCACCACTGCCAGCATCACCACCAATACTGCATCATCACCATCACCACCACCACTGTCACAATCACCATCATCACCACCACCATCACAATCACCACCACCACCACCACCATCACTGCATCATCACCATCACCACCACCACCATCACCACCATCACTGCATCATCACCATCACCACCACCACTGTCACAATCACCATCATCACCATCACCATCACAATCACCACCACCACCACCATCATCACCACCACCATCATCATCACCACCATCACAATCACCACCACCATCACAATCATCTTCACACCATCACCACCACCACCACCACCACATCATCACCATCACCACCACCACCATCATCACCACCGCCATCACCATCATCACCATCACCACCACCATCACACCGTCACACCATTACCATCACCACCACCACTATCATCACCACCACCGTCATCACCACCACCATCACTACCACCACCACCATCATCACCACCATCACACCATCACACCACCACCATCACAATCACCATCACACCATCACCACCATCACACCATTACCATCACCACCATCATAACCACCATTACCACCACCACCACCATCATCACACCACCACCACCATCATCACCATCACCTTCATCACCACCATCATACCATTACCATCACCACCACCATCACACCATCACCACCATCATAACCACCATTACCACCATCATCACCACCGCCACCGTTATCATTATTGTCATCATCACCACTGCCATCACTGCCTCAGCACCATGAAGTCACCATTACCGTCACTACAAAGCAGCACCAGCAGCGTCAGCAGCACTAGCATTTACTTAGCTTTACCCTGTGGCCATGCATGGCACTTATGCTAATTTTATGTCATCGTATGTAATCCTCATAGCCTGAGTTTTGTGCTTTCACCACCTTCTTTCTACAGTCAGAGAAGTCAAGGCAAAAAAGGTTCCCTGGGCCTTGCCTTAAAGTCTCCCAGGGTAGGTAGGAAGGCACTCATGAGATATTTGGGAACTGTGCCCTGCAGTGAGCTCATAGTGACCCGTGAGCCAAACTTTCCCCATTCCTGTCCCTTGTCTGGGGATGGTCAGAGAGTCACTGAGCAGCACCAGTGGGGGCACTCAACTTCTCTCAACCTCTAGGAGAAATTCAGTACCCCCGTCTGCAGATGCCCCTCCTCTGGAGATGCTCCCCCTCTGCAGATGCCCCTCCTCTGCAGATGCCCCTCCTCTGGAGATGCCCCTCCTCTGGAGATGCCCCTCCTCTGCAGATGCTCCCCCTCTGCAGATGCCCCTCCTCTGCAGATGCCCCTCCTCTGGAGATGCTCCTCCTCTGGAGATGCCCCTCCTCTGCAGATGCCCCTCCTCTGGAGATGCCCCTCCTCTGCAGATGCCCCTCCTCTGGAGATGCCCCTCCTCTGGAGATGCTCCCCCTCTGCAGATGCCCCTCCTCTGGAGATGCTCCCCCTCTGGAGATGCCC